TGACCATATCTCTTCCAACTTCGTTGCGAGGGGATAAAAGGGGTTTTGTTTTGTTTTGTTTTAATAAGGGGAACATGGAAACAAAATTTTACTTTTTATATTTTCCCAGGAGAATACTTTTATACCTCTAAGCAAATACAAAATTGCCACTAGATTTTGAATATTGAGCATGCCGAGTTTTTAATGTTCCATGTAATGAGGTATGTGAACCGCAATTAGAGGCATTGCTACGGTTTGATTTATTGATCAGTATAAATTCATCATGATAAATGATTTCTGAGTTATTACTGAATGCATATGTCATACTTTGCAGTTGTTAATATTGTTTACTATGTACAGATTTTATATCAGCCATGCTGCATTGAACAAAAAACTTAAGTAGTCTGTCATCGAAGCACAAACATCTCTGTCTGTTTCATAATTTTGTTTGTCGAAAAAAAAAAAAAGCAAATTACTGTATGTTATGTTTTTTATTATCCCCTTTTCAATTTTATTTGTGTGATTGGAATACGAGATCATACAATAAATATTTTGTTAATCAAAGTTGAGTTTTAATGAAAACGAGCATATAAATCAAGGCAGCATTCGACATCGATCCCAGTGCAAATTACGTCACTTCCGTTACGCACACAAGGACAAACTAACGCACACACTCACAAGCGCGTTACTATATCCCCTCCAACTCCGATGCGAGGGGATAAGAATCAATATATCTTAAGATTAATACATGTACCGACATTCTGTGACGTGTATATCCACCACAATCTATTTTTAACAGTTATACACGTACCGTCGTCATTCTGTGACATTTGCTGCTTTTTACCTTCATTCTGTGACCTGTACACAAACCACAATCAGCTAATTAAATTAGATTCATAGAACTACTTGTTATGTACAATTATCACCTTCTTGGCAGAAAGATAATACACAGATTAATTTATTGACATATTGCATAATACAACATACAATACAATACATACAATAATATAGTGGATTGATATAGTGATTGTCAAATCTCAATTGAACTCGTATTACTGGAGTAAAGCCATGACAAAGAAATCTGAATACTGTGTTGTTGATCTGTTCAGTTAAAAATAATATACAGATGTAGACACACGTTAAGAAATATTCGTTAACAATGTTAATAGGTAGGTCAATCATTTTGTTTCAGTACTTGTTTCCTAAGAGCATTACTCGAGAAAGATCCGCTCTATAAGAGAAACGTTTTCTAAATGTTACTTTTTCATGTACAACGAGATCCAGTCGTCCGCGTGGCGCAGTAGTTAGAGCGTTTGCTCTATAGTCGCGGAATAAGGAGTTGATTCTTACGTTGCGTGTTCGAATCCCACTGCGGGACGTGGAGACAGGTCCTTCGAATAAGACCATACAAACCAAGGTGTCGCAGTAGGTGTTGGCACGAAAGAGATCGGCAGTTAGTGTCGAGTAAGGTCTAAATTTGCAGTCCTTCACCGGCAAGTAGTGGCTTTTCAATATGGGTAAAAAAAAATACTCTTTGTTAAACAGTGACATCCACCAGTCAGGGTAGCTTAGTGGTAGGATGTTCGCTTCGTGGTCGGGAGGCCTGGGATCGATTCTCGTTCGCGGCGCCGCATCAAACCCAAGACGTAAACATAAATAGTGACTGTCACTGTTTCTTCACCAAGCGCCCGGCATTATAAGTGAAAGTCACGGATGTTTTGGATGAGACTTAAAACCCGAGATCCCGTGTCATTGTTGGCATTGACACAACAAAGAACCCGGTACTGCTTAATGGCCCTGAGTACTTAGTATACATGTACTCTTCACCGGTATATGGTGACGTCTCTACATGAGTGAAATATTCTCGAACGGGACGTCCAGCAACATACAATCAATCAATACAATGACCGTTGCAGTTATGTACGTTTTATTTCAATATATTTTTGGGGATATAAGAAGACAAATTATGGATTGAATCACGTTGGATTAGTTGTTTTTTTTTAAATTCATTTTTTATTTTATAAATATACGTATGTAATTTTTATCCCTACACGGGTGCATTTGTTCCGTCTCTTTGTAAGGTATATCCTTCTATAGACTAGATTGTTTGAGGAACACGCTTTGCCAGTACATACTTATACTGCCGCATATTAAATTATACTCAAGTCTTCAAATTATTGTACCGTTCACCGTAGCTCAGTCGGTAGAGCGCTCGCTCCGTGATCGGGAGGTCTTGAGTTCGAATCTCGGCCGCGCCAGACCTAAGTCGATAAAAAATAGGTAGCAACTGTTCCTTCGCCATGCGCTCGGCACTTTGGAGTGAAAGTTGCGGGTCTTTCGGATGAGACCTTAAAAACCGAGGCCCCGTGTCACGGCAGGCGTTGACACGATGAAGATCCCTCACTGCTCAATGGCCCTGAGTGCCGAGTAAAGGTCAAAATTTGAAGCCCTTCACCGGTATATGGTGACGTCTCTATATGAGTGAAAAATTCTCGAATGGGACGTAAAACAATATACAATCAATCAATCAATCAAATTATTGTAGGAGAATTAAAGCCAACTATTTTTTCTCTCAAAATATTTCAAACATAATATACTCTTTAGGTTGGGATTTCGTAAAGCTGACGAAGTTTTCTTGGCTTGATTACTTTCTAAAGTATTGCTGACATTGAAATATACCCGTACTTTTAACAGTTCACAGCTTTTGTGCCGACTGCAGAGCAAGAGCAACACGTATCACTCTGTCTGGCGTCTGTCATACCTTGTACCCTGAAAACTGTTATAGCGGGGGATTTGGTATTGCTTAATGGCCCTGAGTACTTAGTATACATGTACTCTTCACCGGTATATGGTGACGTCTCTACATGAGTGAAATATTCTCGAACGGGACGTCCAGCAACATACAATCAATCAATACAATGACCGTTGCAGTTATGTACGTTTTATTTCAATATATTTTTGGGGATATAAGAAGACAAATTATGGATTGAATCACGTTGGATTAGTTGTTTTTTTTTAAATTCATTTTTTATTTTATAAATATACGTATGTAATTTTTATCCCTACACGGGTGCATTTGTTCCGTCTCTTTGTAAGGTATATCCTTCTATAGACTAGATTGTTTGAGGAACACGCTTTGCCAGTACATACTTATACTGCCGCATATTAAATTATACTCAAGTCTTCAAATTATTGTACCGTTCACCGTAGCTCAGTCGGTAGAGCGCTCGCTCCGTGATCGGGAGGTCTTGAGTTCGAATCTCGGCCGCGCCAGACCTAAGTCGATAAAAAATAGGTAGCAACTGTTCCTTCGCCATGCGCTCGGCACTTTGGAGTGAAAGTTGCGGGTCTTTCGGATGAGACCTTAAAAACCGAGGCCCCGTGTCACGGCAGGCGTTGACACGATGAAGATCCCTCACTGCTCAATGGCCCTGAGTGCCGAGTAAAGGTCAAAATTTGAAGCCCTTCACCGGTATATGGTGACGTCTCTATATGAGTGAAAAATTCTCGAATGGGACGTAAAACAATATACAATCAATCAATCAATCAAATTATTGTAGGAGAATTAAAGCCAACTATTTTTTCTCTCAAAATATTTCAAACATAATATACTCTTTAGGTTGGGATTTCGTAAAGCTGACGAAGTTTTCTTGGCTTGATTACTTTCTAAAGTATTGCTGACATTGAAATATACCCGTACTTTTAACAGTTCACAGCTTTTGTGCCGACTGCAGAGCAAGAGCAACACGTATCACTCTGTCTGGCGTCTGTCATACCTTGTACCCTGAAAACTGTTATAGCGGGGGATTTGGTATTTTGCTCATGTATTGCATGGAAGAATGACTTTTGTAAAATACCAGGTTGCTGACCTCATGACCTTTGAACTTGACCTTTATCCTATCTTTTCATAATACACCGTAATACCGATATGCACATTTTTGTACCTTTAAAAGGTAAAACTGTGTTATTTGGCAAGTACATTGATAAGCAAAATCATGTTGAAAAATATCAGCATTGTCTTCCATTTGACCTTGACCTTGAGCCTATTTTTTCAGAATATTCCAAGCCACCAAGTTATATATTATGAATTTTGAGAGGAGGGTTTTGATAAAATCATTATATACATGTTTATAAATGTATAACCTCATGACACATCTTTCAAACTGTATTAATTACATCAGTCAAAGATTGCCATCTTATAAACAAGTCTTTGTGCACTTTCTTTTTGAAAATTTAATTTTATTTCACTTTTTGAGACTTAAATACGACATAACAGTACAAACAACAAGTACATCAATATTGAAACAAATATATAAGTAATGAATGAACATTGAATAAACATTCTGCAAACATGATAGCTATGAAAACCGAGGAAATATTTTTAAAAACATTTCATTTTTCTCATTAATTGCTCGTCCTATTTTTTTGAAACATTAAAGGATTAGTCCTTGCATTTAGTCAACCCGATTTCTGAAAATAAAATCTTAATATGTTTTTTAATGTTTTTTAACATTCTTTACTGTTTCCATGGAAACAAAAAGAGCGGATTTCTTTTTTATTTGGATTTTCTACTAAAGATATTATCAGCTATTGGACTTCTCAACATCAATATTTTCAGGAACTACTGACTCTGAATTGTAATACATGTATTACCAAAAAAGTTGTAAGGGTCACTTTTCAAAAAAAAAAAAATAATCATCTTCCTGTTTATTTGTATCTTTAGAAAACATCAATTTTTTCTCTTTTTCATAGTGATAAGCATAAATTAAAAATTAGATGTGAGATGATCGTGCACTCATATTGCGTATTTTACTGAATATACTGATAACAACTGTCGATTATTCTAGACTCATATTTATGACGTATGCTGCAAACAGATTGTGTTTCACATGAGATTGCTTTATCGTGTATTCACATTCAGGAAATAAGTGGGTTTTTTTTCTTTCAAGATTAAACAAAATATCAAAGATACAATAGATGGAGAAAAGACCTAATGACTCATTGTCTGAGTCCATATTTAATTAGGCGGGAGTGTTTACTGTACTGTCGTTGTTAGCAACCTGTGGACTAACTTCAGTGTGCTTTCTTATAAACATGTATACAACTAGGTTAACTACACCTCCGAGGTTGTTAAAAATTGTGACTAATTGAAACAAAACTTGCGGCACGTTATCAACAAGAGCCCATACTCCGTAGATCGCGAAGGCCCACCACTGGACGAAAAATGCCGCAACAAAAAAGGTCATGTTGCGCGCGGCATTATGAGCCATGCGCATGGTGACAGACTTTTGACCAATCGTGTGCTTGATTCTCTCTGTGTCGGATCTGATGCGAGTCCATGTGAGTAGGTATAGGATGGTGTTCATGAACAATATGAGAGTGAGAGGAACTGTTGTGAAGCATATATTGGCAATGACACCCTTCACGCCGTCAAAAAAGCAACTGAAATGTTAAACAAATGTAAGAACGATTAGTTACACTACTCAAATGGAAATATCAAAGAAATGGGTTCTGGACACAGTAAAAACCATTTTTTTAAATATTTGTTTTTCCTCTTTATGGACAGTTTCGACACAGAAATTTATAACCGAATATCAGTTAGTTTTTTTGATGGCTCACACAAAAAGATCATCGGAAGAACGCTAATTACAAACATATTACTTGATTAATATTCTTTATATTCCATTTTCTTCATTTGATTTATTATTCAGTCAATTATAAAGCAAATAACTCTACATGCAGAACCTGGTCTACTAAATCTACACAGTTATACACTAGTATCAGATAAATCTTAAAATTAATATTCTACACTGTCACCTTCCTTTGGTCTTTTTGTATCCTATATTTTGCGTTTTTCAAGTGTTCACAACAAACTCAGCAATTTACTTTCATTTCCTTTAATCTTTTATTTTTCAGAAATCCTTAACTAAGTATATGTATTTTTAGAGAGAGATTATAATACAATCTTCTGTGTAGTTCTAGCTTAATCAAGTGCAATGCGTGATTTTGTTTTTTCTACTCGAATGAAGTGGTACATGAAGCATTCATTCGGATGAGGAGGTAGAAGAAATCAATTAATGACCTTTTTTGATCATAACGAATCTTGCCCTTTCATGTATTCGATAATAAGCTGATGGCAAGCAACTATAATGATTTTCCCCCCCAAATAAATCATAATATCAAATTTTTCTTTGAAGACTAGATGACGAACTAATAAATTATTATTTTCAGCAGGATAAAATTAAGATTTTGATTTTCATATCATAGTCGTCTCTTTTTTACAGACTGTTGACTCTGTGGAAAAATATTCACATCAGTCGTATATTGAAGCAAAACCATCATGCCGTTCAAATTTATCTGAATACGAGGTGTTTCTGCTTAGTGAGTTTCATACAACTGCTTTTGAGACAAAGAGTTCGCATCCTTAAGCTTTAATTGCACTTTCTTATATACCCCACCCTTCCATAAACATCATGCAATCAATTTTTATGCTAATATTTAATGGATGACCATTTTGCATGTGCAGAATTACTACATGTATTTTATCGCACAAAACAAGAATTTATTAGAGCTAACTGGGTCTGGCTTGTATGGAAAATGCATTTTTGTTTCAAGGGTGCAGTTTTCAGGAATTCTTTGGAAACCTTTTGTCAAAAACTATAGAAAGCCACAGATTAAACTCCGTCGCCATTTTTCATTACAATCTACTGATAGCCAATCTGAAATTATCAAATATTTCTTATAATTTAGCACATTTAGAAGCAAATCTTGCAATTTTGATACAAATAAAATGAACTTGAGGCAAGTGTTTGAAACTCTAATAGCAGCTTTAGAGAAAACAACACATTAACTAGCAACACTTTCTTTTAACGAGGCCGAGTCTTATTATTTCTACCATAGATATTTTGATAAATTTTCTTGAATGAATTTTTACTATTATATTAATTATTTTAAGATAAAAATATCAAATGTATACCATCCCGATTTCTAAGAGGACCATCTTAAAAGTCAAATTTTACTATTGGACCCTATGGGAATTTGTTGGAAAAGCGCCAAATTATCACATTTTCCCCATATTTTTTGTATTTCTGCCCTAGGGATTTCGTTTTCAGTCACATACATGAAAATTATTGTAAAATGTCACCAAATTGTGAAATTTCAAAAATGTTGACCATCTGGTTTGGTCTAGGAATTATTACAAAGTTTATTTTTTTCCCAATGCCCAATACCTCTAAATTTGCCATATTGCGGCATACATTTTGTATATATCGTCGCAGATGAATTATTTTGGTGAAAAATAACAACGTTTAGATTGCTGGTATGTTTCTTTTGATGTTCTGCCAACAGTGTTTAATAAAAATGTCCATGGACTTCTTGAATACTCAAGCAAGTCAAGCGTCATTCTTCAGCGTCATTCATTGTTTACAGAACCGGAAAACAGTGACGTCGAAGCCATTTCAGCATTTACTCCTAAATATTATCTTAAAAGCTCATTTTAAGACCCATAAGCGTTACAGATAATGTTCATTTTGTGTTACAATTACAATACTTGGATAGGTGTTATGTTTCAGATACGACTGCATGAAACTAAAAAGCTGCGCAAAGTCGCGCGCACTGGAATTAGACTCGGCCTCGTTAAAGAGATGAATATGTCCTCTTAAGGAGACTTCAAAAAGTATAAATACTTTTTGCTTGAGTATTCAAAGGGGTAGTGAAAAGCCTACCCTTACGCTTGTCTTTTGGCAATAAAAGAAATTTTCCATCCACAAATGAAGATTACTCCGCCCAATTTGAAAAAAAATACTAAAGTGTAGAAAACAAAACTTACAAGGCCCCTGCAGGTCCTAGTTGCTCAAAACTGGCGGCAAAGGTCACACCGACAAAGGGGGCTCCAAAAATCCACACCAGAATCTTCCAGTCGTATTTTCCAAAGTTGATATTCTTGTTGAAATAAATTAACACAAATGCATTGATGGCTACGATATTCACCATTAAATTTTGAGCGGTTATGAACTCGACTAACATAAAAGCGTAGAACTCGCAAAGCTCTCTGGGATAGACGTGGTTCTGGGAAATTACAATATGCAGATGATCAAAACTGTGAGCAATGTTAAAGGTGCCATCACAAATGGCCATGTACACCACGAAACGCTCACTTTTTGACCAGGTGAAAAACGATTTTATTTTTCTTTTCTTGAAAGACAGAATCAGTACTGTTAAGGCACAAATCAAGCTCAAAAAAATGCACAGGAGTGCAGGTAAGTGTATAATTAAAAACTGTCCATTGTCCAATCCGTACACCGGTAAATCGTAGCCGTTGGTTTTGGAAATAGTGTTGTTCGCATTCATTTTTATTTAATTATTCTTTTTCAAATTCGTCTACCTCTTTATTCTTACCCAGCTTTATCGCACTAAATTATATTCTACCTGTAAAGCGACAAAATATTCCGATATTTTTATGCGAACGGACTATTCCATTCTGTTTCTTTTACTCGCTACTAATCCATTAACATCAATACTGCTATAGGTAGCATCATCTTGCGTAATTTACTAGTAGGTACATGTATCTAAAAATTAAACAAAAGATCGGGGGGGAAATGTTATTTATACTAAGAAGGTATGTTTACAAAATTTGATTTACCGGAACAGATCATTGGCGTTTATTGACCCCCTTTCTTTGACTCTCTCTCTCTATGTTTGACATTTCATGCAAAGTAGATGCTACTACGAAAGCCACCTCGAGTCATTAAAATTATTTCGAAATGAATCGAAAAACGACCTGATGCATGAAAACAATTTATGATATTGTAAATATATATATTACGAGGGTTGTCCCAAAATTCCGTAGATTGCCCTTAAATCTTAACAAATATTAAGATACAGTGTATCTTTATGAAATTTTCTGGGTGGATAAAGTACATGTATGTTGTTTCTTGACAAAATACGAAGTTTCTGTATGATAACTTGAAAACATTAAGTAAAATTTAGAAATGCAGTGTTACCGTTTACTAACACCAAAGCAATCTATGACGTCAACAAAAATTAAACCGCTCTTGTGGAGTAGGCTTTCCCCTCTAAAATCACCACCCACCCCAGAAAACTGGCTCTAGAATAGGATTTTTCTCCCGGAAAATAGGCTCTAGAGTACGATTTCCCCCCGGAAAAATGACTCAAGAGTAGGATTTCACCTACGGAAATTCCACACCAGATTCAATTTTCCAGGGGGAAATCCTACTTCGTAATAGTTATAGAATGCGATTTCCCCCAAAGCCAATTTTCCCCTATCAAATGTCATGGCTGTACTGGTAAATGAGGGGGAAGGGGGCAATATATTGTTACAAGTGTCCCTTCTTCAAAATGGCGACCAATTCGATTGAAATATACGAAGTATGAAAAATTTTTCTCAGTAACCGTCCAACCATTTTTTTAGCATTAAAATCGTATTCTTTTCATTTGATCAAACCTCGTTTTTAAAATAAATGGTACAATGTAATCGGTTGGACAAATTTGAACTATTCATAGAAACAAAAAGGAATTTTACATTATATGATTTTTTTTTCTCCAATTGTATTTCAAATGTACAAAATATGTACATGATATTGATGTGTGTCTCCTCAGAATTCTGGTGTTTAATTATGGCCATGAATCTAAAAATGGGTCAGTATATTTCTAAAAATTTATTTTTTTTAAAACTTGAGTATTTGCTCTGCTTTCAAATTCATTATTACATCGCCGGGATCTAGGGGACATGTTTATGCTTCGGCTTGCAAAAGCAGTGTTTCTTTATTGTTTATGGTTTTGGCTTTTTTCCCTTTGAAGAACTATTCGATTTAAATACTCACAAAATGAAAATGACATGTGGAACCTATCAGTAGCATAAATTTTAGATTTTTCTCACACACTCTGTGTAAAAAGAATGGATCCATAGATGAAAAACTGGGCCTTTAGAGGACAAACAAATTATCAAATAACTTAAAGTGACCTGATATAATTTTAAAACTCGTGAGCAAACACGTACCGCTGCGCCGAGAGAGGGTGTTGAGACATCGATATTTCGAGTGACTATTTTTACGATATCCCAAGAGTTAAAATTTTGGATTGAGACTCAATGATTTGAACTATATATATATTTTTTAGATTTCATACTCAATTCGACAATTCTTGAGTCGAAAACACTCATATTTCCATTAAAGAATCAATTGACTCTCATATAAACTTTTAGCCAAATATTGTCGATATAATATAAGCATTGAGCATAAGCAGGGGAAATCCTACTCTAAGAAAGAAAGAGGAGGAAATTTGGCTTTAGTGTGCGACTTCCCCTCGGGGGAAATCCTACTCTAGAGTACAGATTCCAGGGGGAAAGCTGGCTATGGGGGAAATCCTATTCAACAACACTAGTTTCATTTTTTTTTTGGGGGGGGGATACACTAATTACCTGAATCTTTGAATTCATCATAAAGATGATGGAAAAAATGTTAAATATGTATCTTATAATGATATTATTTAACATTAAAATATACAAACAAAGTATGTATATGTATCCAATAATACATGTAATAATTTAAATACCCCTTGTACTTAAAGATTCATCTTTCTTCTCAAATCGAGCTGCACACTGTCACTTTGCCAACGATTTCTTGTCCGATTCTTCGGCTGATCTTTTTTTCATATACTTTAAAAAAAACGGACCGAAATACATTTCCTTGTGTACCAGACATTTAGGAATTCTGCGTTTCTGTAGAAGTGAATTCAAGTTCAGAACATTTGACCGCAGTCCAGTGCGCCACCATTTTTAAATAAGATTTCAAACCGGTGCATATAAACCATTATAAAATTCGTAAATACAACAAAATTGGAGGAAAAGAAGTTAACAATGCATTATTAAGAACTTTTATTTCTAACTCCAAATTCTAAATACTTTTTAGTAAGGTTTTAAATATCATATATCGATTTTCAGTCGTAATTTATAGGTAGTGCGCCGCCTTCTTACATCAGACAATATATACTGAAAGGAAAAAGAAACACAGGGTAAACGTTTGAGGTGAAATAATGTTACTTTTTTATCTTTGATAAAAATGTAACCAAAATCTCATTTGATTTTGATCGATAGTTTATGAGTTATTGAATCATATGACGTACACCCCAAAAATGAAAATCGAGAATTCTCATTATCTCTCATGTCTCCCTGGTGCATCTGTCACAGCCTTGATTCTCCTATGCATGGAGTTCATCAGTGTGTTTATCCTTCTAATAGGGATATTATTCAACCCTTCCGACAAAGCTCCAAAAAATCCATTTTCCACTAAATATGCTTAACTAGCATCTTTAGAAACACATAATCAACTAATAAATCATTAAATAAAATAAATGAATCAAATATGTTAAAGATGCCATTACTGAAAACATAATTTTTTACAAAATATAACTTTTCCATGAACTTGAAAAATTGAGAAAAATATTGTCTCAGAGCAGGGGATTGTCCCTGCCTTGTGCGCCCTCTTTCTTTCAATTTTATCAATGTCTTACATGTATAAAGGATTGTATATATATATATATATATATATATATATATATATATATATATATATATATATATTGTATATACATGTATATGACTTTTGAGAGAAAGTCATGAGAAACCCTGGCTTCATTGGACTGGGGGTTAACATGCAAACAATAGCACGCGTGCGCGAATAGGAGGGACACCAACGTAAAAATGGCGAGCTCACAAAACACTTTAAGATTTGTTACTGAGCACTAGACTAATTATTTTGCATTTTGCTGATCCTTGATCATCCTTTTTCTTTATGGCACAAAGCTTATTTTGTTTTATTTTACCCCTGTAAATAAAGTTTGGGGAATATATAGGAATCACCTTGTCCGTCTATCCATGGAATCTTATTTGGACTTTATCTTTCTAATGAAGAATCATAGGATGCTCATACTTGGTATAGAGATTGTTATGACTTTAGAGTATGTCGACGTCTTGACCTTGATACAAGGACATTTTGGCAAGTTCGAGGTCTCTGACAGATAGAGTAAAGAAGTCTAGGCTATAACTTTGTAATAGAGAATCATTGGTACAAAGATTGTTTATGACCTGAGGGTGTGTCATGACCTTGACTTAGTGTCATTCCTGCAAGTTCAAGGTCACCGCCAGAAAAAGCATAAAATTCTTGTGTAGACTATAACTTTGGAATGGTGAATCATTGGAAGCTCATACTTCACACAGATTGGTTATGGCTTAAATTGTGTTATGACCTAAGTGTGTGTCTTAACCTTGGCCCAAGCTCATTGTGGGAAATTCTAGGTCACTGGTATAAAATGTGTAAAATTCATGGCAGATTTGTAATTTCCCAATAGAGAGACATTTGATGTCCATATATTTCATTAAAAGATTACTTACGAGGAAAGGATGTGTCATTTTTTAAAATCAATTTATTTTTTTTTTGGCAAGTTCAAGGTCACATTTACAAAAATTGAATGGGCACTTTAAAAAAAGTTGAAGCGGGGGTATTATTTTACGAACTCGCTCACAGTACCTCTATTTTTATACTTCTGTGGATACTTTATTATGTTGTATTACACTCAGGTGACATTTAAGACCCATGGGCCTCTTGTTTGAAAATTTATTCTCAAAGTATAGATGGTTTTTCATCAAAGTGATACTGAGTATAAGCAAGAGTTATTTCCCATGGCCACCATATTGTAGGTCAACATCTCCAGATCCCTTCATTATTCAACCAAGTTCAATTTGTTTTACAGGGCACTGAGGTGAAGATAACACCGTTTTTCTTATGAATATACGTTTGTTAAAGCTTCTTTTAATTCATAATTTCAATATTTTAAATATTTTTTCCCGTTTATTTTTGGCATGCATTTTTAAAACTCAAAGAGGAAAATTTGATTTTGACCTACAAAATGGCGACCAAAGGGAATACCTCCGAGGGAAAATACGTCATATACGTAAAAAAAAATTGTTAACAAAAACATCAAGCAAAGGCCCACTATATCTTTAAATTATGCTTTTATGACACAACATTTGTATCTTTCCGAGAAATATTCGAAGTCCAGATGTCATACATGATTTAAATGCCAAGGTTTGTCACAAGGTGTGTAGCGTGGTGGTTAACGTGTTAGTCTTAATAACAGATTAAAAAACTAGAGTGTTCCAAGAAACGCATGTGTCGCCTGCTTTGTAGCTTCATTAAACGTGTAAATATATCTAAGGATGGTCAGCTTTTTATTTACTATAAGCATGATAGATTGACAGTTCATGCATTTGCCTGCAAAGAAAAAAATGGCATCGTATTCATGGTTAGTATGCCTGTGATAGAATCTGACAT